AGTTACTAATCTTGATTAGCGCCGATTGTAATTAGCTTTACGATCGGCTCGGCTTTCAGATTGGAATGTAAAAGTTACTGGTTACTGGTTACAAAAGCTGTTAAAATAATATTCCTCTGAACATTTTTACTTTAAAAATATATAAAAAAAAATTTTATTTTATTTTTTATTTTTTTATTACTTAGATACTTACTAAAATAGCGACGTGTAAGTGTTCTACGTCCGCGCATCACACGTCTAGTCGCTTCCGATTCCTGTGTGCAGAAGGCAAGCAATACTGAAATTTTTAAAATTAATACAAAAATTAGAAAAAAATGTACATATCGTGCCCTAACCGCCAAAGGAATATAAGCGAAATATTTTCCAAAATTTTCTTTAGGATGTAGATATGCTCCTAGCGCATCTAAATGCATTTTTACATCGAAAAGTAAATTTTGAAAAAAATTTCGCTTATGTTTTTTTCGGTGATAAGAGCTCTTCCTCCGGATCCGAAATTTTTCATATAATACATTTAAAATTTCCGATGGAAAAACGGTTTCGATGTTTTTTTGTATGAAGAGTGATCACCCTAATGTACATGTGTATGTATTTTAATGGCAAATAAAATTTATTTGAGCAAAGGCGAACGAAAAAAATAAAATTAATCTCCCCGCATATGAGTGCCATACTCTACGTCGTAAATTCTATTTTAGTTACCTAATCCGGACAGATATAAATTTTGAAACTTCATTACTGCCTGCAACTAACATTGCATAAATTTTTTCGTATTTGATTTTACATACTACTTTCTAGTTCATAATGCTTTCCCACTTGTTATTTGTTTTATGTGAAATTTACATGCGAAAAAAATATAGAATACATATATGTATCTACCTACATTTGTACATTGATAAATCCTATATTGTGCTATTCTAGTACATTCCCAACCGTGCATTAATGTCGATGAATGCACAACGGAAAAAATCTGCATAAAAATCCATTACTGACGCAATACGGACGCATAACATAAAACGCCAAAAAAAAAATGGAACGCACAAAATATACATACTACCTTATGCAAAAGATAGAAACTACGCAAAAAAAAAATGTACGAAAAATGTAGCGGAACTCAATAAATAAAAACATTTTTGTTTGTTTTTGCAGCTAACCAAAAAGTGCAATAAAACGCCAAAACAGTTCATCATCATCAGTGTCACTATCAACGTCGGGCCCCTTCCGTGCCTACAACATCCGTTACCGTGTTGTGTAACTCGTATTTATGTATGTATGTAGCACGCGACACCTACAATAAGAACAACAATGCGTGTACAAGCGAAGCCACAGCCATGCCACAGTGAGTGCCAAAGAATATGTACAGGTGATGTGGCGGTGGTCAATACTCGTACATATTGTATTGTGGCTGGCCAACAAGCGGCCCAGGTGAATATGCGTCGCAACGCCCATAAAAATTGGCCAACTCTTTGTGTTGGCTTCCGCCGCCGCCGCCGCCGCCGCCGCCGCCGCCGCCTCCTTCACCCATCGAAGGGATGCACCTGCGGCCGGTCGGGGAGTACGGGTGGTAAGCGGGTTTTCTTTTTTGAGCTTCGAATATACATATGTATGTATGTTTGTGTAATTGTTTGTATATATGCTTGTATCATAGTTCTATTTTGCTATTCTATTCGAGCATATGCAACAGGGTATTTCATTTTAATTTATGTGAAAATCAAAGCTTTGTTGTTGTCGCTTCAATCACATCACCAACACTTTAAGCCTGCATATTCACATGAATTTGAATACATTTGCGTGGATATGAATGCACTTGTATGTGTGTGCTTCTGTTTTGCTCCACTGCTAACATGTAGTACTTACTTACTTACATACATAAGTCTTTCACTGTAGTTTTGAAATAAATGGCTATTAAATATGGAAATCTTAAAATGGACCCAAAGCTAGGGGGAAAATAAATATAGTTGTTGGTTCTTTTTTTGCTGCATACTTTTCAGTTTTCGAATTCATGTGTAGTAGTGCCATAAAATGAGACAAAAAAATGTCTAACGACTCTCTAAATTAAACAGTTCAGGTTGGGTTTGGTCGATTTCCAGGGTACTTGCCTTTAACCCAAGGCGGATATTGCTGAGTTTTTTAAGAATACTAAAACTAATGCGATGGTTACAGAAAGTGATAAATCGTAAGGAGAAACATTGCTTTCTGGCTGCATAATCTGCTGGTGCTTTACTCAGAAATTTTCTTTGGCGTTATGGATATGTGAAAACTAGGCACGTAAAAGCAGGTCGAGGCTGATGTGATAAGATGATGCCAACTGATGATGACGTTGATTTTTTTGGAAAGAATTTCCGCCAAGAGATGCGAGTACGTTTTGGTGACATCAAAGTTCTAAATGGAGTATATTCTATGTGGCCAACGCCAAGCAAATATGTCTCAAAATAGCATGCAGACATTCAAAGAAAGGTGTATAATTTTCTCGTCCTCCGACTTCGATTAGATCATCATTCATTAGATTTTTAAATGTCTACAATGTAGCTGTATACTGGTACTCGATGTATTAAAAAGTATTTAAAAATGATTGCGTAAGATTTCAGAAACTCCTTTGACCATTTTTATTTACGCCATAACAGAGAGCCTCAGGTTGGCGACAGAGTAAATATTACAGCTGAAAATCTTTGCTGTTAAGGCCGATGAATATTTTATCATAAAAACTAATTGAAAATAATTAAACAAAACAAAATTGCACAAGAAAAATTTTAAACTTTATAAATAAATATATTTTTTTTTTAATTTATAAAAAAATTTTAGGTATGCAGTTGGATAGCCCATTAAATTTTAGGATAATAAAGTGCAAGTTTTCAGTGACTAAGAATTCAGTTCAGGCATTTTCTTCCACATACGTAAAATGAGCTCGAAATGCCAGCAAAAAAATTATTAAAAATCAACATAATTTCATAACCACTTAAAACTTGCATTTCATGGTATAAAAACTTTAATTTATTGTGTTATAAAACTACAAACCTAAAATTTTTCTAAAAATTAAAAAAAAAAATTAAAATTTTACTTGTGATTTCTGCCTCTTAGAGCAGCCTTATAATTTCATTCCACTAGTTTTCATTAAGTAACATTCGTTAACAGGGACGGGAAAATCGATTTTCTTCAAAATTCCTACTTTCCCTGCACTTTGCACTAAAAAATTCAATATAAACAAATAATATTAAAGATTGGCTCCTTAAACCTCTAAAGAATTTAATTGTCTTTCAATTCAAAAGAAAAAAATGAAAATCCGTCAAGAAGTGTAGGCTATAGACCTTTTTGAATAGAAAATTTCGTGTTTGTGCCACTCTGCTACGCGACAGTTAAGTAGTAACTGATTTCAAAAGAAAAAAATACGGGTCACCTTATTTTCGATATACTTTAGTTCTGAGCAGTGGCTGGTAAAAAAACTCTTGGACCAACCTAGCGCACATAAATATTATGTTCATTTTTTTTATTTCATTTATTTTATTTTATTTTGTTTAAATTACTTTAATTTATTTTTAAATCTCATTCATTTTGTAACGTAATTTTTTTTATTAATACGAAATTATCATTAATTTTGTTAAAACATTATTTGTGGCACACTTTGATCTACAAATTTATCGATGACCTCATAATTCTACATGCATTCCAGCCACTAAACTCTCCATAGATATGGATGTCAAATACACCTCACTTGACTCCGCGAATATTTTTATGAAAGAGGTAACCAACTATTACGTTTTTCTTGCCTTAAGTGACTAACAATAAATTTCATTTACTAGAAATACTTGAAACATCGTATGAGTCACTATCTTTTCTAAATAAACACAAGCCAATTTGATAACAAAAACATTTTTGTAGAGTTGAACGAAACAAGTGAACGCAATTGTTAAAAAAACGGTAGTTTTTGTATATAGTATGTGTATACATACATATATGTACATTAGGGGGGGTCCAAAAATGCATGTGAAAAAGTAAAGTCGGAATTTTTATGCTCTCACCCCCTAGCCTTATTTTTTTATTTTGAAATCAAAAAATATTTAGAGGTCGCTCAAAGCGCCCAAAGTTTTCCATGTATTTTATATGGGGGAAAAACAACTTTTCGTAGAAATGGTATAGAATTCTTGAAAATAAATATTTTTCGATCGGAAAACTCTTGTTCTCTTCAAGAGACTTTCGATAATAGTACCCATTTGTTTATTTAACCATATAAATTCCGACTTTACTTTTTTTTTACATGCATTTTTGGACCACCCTCATATACAAACATATATGTACGTACAAAAGTACATATTTAGGTCACTCACAAACACAATCACATTTACTTATACTAGTAGAAGCTAAGTTTTACACGGATCCCAATTCAGGTGATATAATTTTTTCAATGAAAAAAAAATTGCGTTACCCAAAAATATCACCAAATATGTTGAACTTTTCTTCACCAGCTGCATTTTATTAATATTTTTCTAAAATATGTTTAACTGGAAAAATTATCTTCGTTGCAATTAAAGCACGAGTCGTTCGTAGATTTTAATGGGTTAACTATGATGGTCTTCGATGAACTAAGTTAAAAGCGCCAAACTGAGTCAATGCTTCTCAAGCAAAAGTCAGATAAGCATTCCAGTAAGTGTTGCACACTGGAAGTGATAAGATAAGCACCATAACTAGGCATACATATTTACATACATATGGGTGTATACATAGATACTAATGTTTGTATGTATCGGCATGTATACATATATATGTGTGCAAACGATTTTTGCAACCAACGTCTATTACTTATCTTAACAATTAATGAACACGATTTTTTTTTTGTAATTTTTCGTCATGTTTTTATTTAATTCTTAAATGCGTATTTGAATTTTTTCGTTTTTTTTTTTTGTTTTCTTATTCTTTCCTTCATATCTAATGTGAATACCTTTGCCTATGAATATTATGTACATGAATAATAGCTTTTTCGAATTTCCTATATTAAGATGCGATTGATTTCCCTAATGACGACGATACTTCAACCTGCGCACAGCTTTGTATCGATAACCATCATTAGCGAGCACAGCTGTTTCTTCCTCCGGTTGTTGCTCCGCCACCACTTGTACTTCCTCTGTTGGTGGTAAATACTCATTAGTCGGCGCCAGTTCACTGACATCACGCCGATGACGATATTTTAAGCGACGTACTACTTTGTAACGGTAACCGTCATTAGCCAAAACGGTAGCATCTTCTGGCGCTGGTTCAGAGACCTCAGCAACAGCTGTTTCCTGAACTTGCTCTGCAGGTGGAAGATATTCATTCTGTGGCAGCTCATCAACATCACGGCGCTTGCGGTATTTCAGGCGACGGACAACTTTGTAACGGTAGCCATCATCAGCCAATTCAGTCTTTACTTCAGCAGCGGGTTCAGAAACTTCTTCGACAGCGGTTTCTTGGGCCTCTTCGGCAGGTGGGAGATATTCGTTCTGTGGCAGCTCATCAACATCGCGACGCTTGCGGTATTTCAAGCGACGGACGACTTTGTAACGGTAACCATCATCAGCTAACTCAGTTTGTTCCTCAGCAGCAGGTTCTGCGACTTCTTCGACAGCGGTTTCTTGGGCCTCTCCGGCAGGTGGAAGATATTCATTCTGTGGGAGCTCATCGACATCGCGACGCTTGCGATATTTCAGGCGACGAAAGACTTTGTAACGGTAACCATCATCAGCTAATTCAGTCTTTGCTTCAGCAGCGGGTTCAGAAACTTCTTCGACAGCGGTTTCTTGGACCTCTTCGGCAGGTGGGAGATATTCGTTCTGTGGGAGCTCAT